TGAAAGCTGGGCCAAAAAACGGCCAGGACAGAAATGTGCAGAGTCAACATAAACTTACAGGCTAGGTAGTAAAGGTCCGAGGGTAAATGAGCTATAGTCTTATCTCCTAGTGTTCCCCTTAATAACCCCTAGAATACTCCCCTACACAATTCCCCTATATAACCCCTTTTGAGGAATTTTAGACCATAGCACATAGAGGCTTAGGGTTGCTAATGCATAGTACGGGACACCAGTGAGGTTAGGGCTTCGGGGTTTAGGGTTTAGTGTTTACCCACCTGGCTTACTGGTAGTTATTGTAGTACTTGGAGGGTCGGGGGGACGTAGTAAGTAGGTTGATAAGGGAGATGACTGGGTTTATTATATGGGTGATAGGGGTTATTAAGCTACTGACTAAGTCCCCGTGACCTTCCAAGTATGTAGTAGGGAAGGAAGGAAAAACAGCTTTTTGGAGTTCTCACGAGACCTGCTACAGGAATCCTCTCTTCGATTCCCTAAACCCTAAAACCCTAAACCTTAAACCCTAAGCCCTAAACCAAGCGCCAGTAAGGCCAGCATGGAGCAGAACTGGAGAGCAGTCCCTAAACCCTAAATCCTAAAATACCTACACACGGCACTCCGCTGGTCGAAGCAGTTCCCCACCCAGTGGCATGGAAGGAGTATGGCAGGACCATATGGGTTTAGGGTTTTAGGGTTTAGGGCTTTGGGTTTTAAACTCTGAAACCCTAAGCCCTAAACCCTAAAACCCTAAACCCAATTTAGAGTTTAGGGATTAGGGCTTAGGGTTGTAGGGCTTAGGGGTTTAGGGTTCAACGTCAAGATCCCTAGCGGTCACTGCCAAGGGGTGGCTTCCTAGCCTGAGATATCAGGACAGCGGCAGGCTGGTTGCACAATGATGCGTGTTAGAGCTACATGGTGCGGTTTAGGGCCAAGGCATACTCAAACCCTAAACTCCCTAAACCCTAACACCCTAAACCCATACTCAAATTGTCAAAGCTTGGAGGTCTCTGCCTGATCATTCAGACTCCTGCCCTGTCGGAAGTCTCCGGCCAGCCAAGTCACGTTCTCAAAGCCGTGTGCACTGATACTGCCCCCACCCTGTAGACATCTAAACTAAGGGTCATACTCAGGGCTGTATGTAAATACATGCTATATACTATCTACGTGTTACAGAGGGGGACAGTACCCAACATGTACACCTCTCGACCTTGAACAACCCATGACGCAAGCCTTACCGGTTGTGACGTTGCAGGCTAGGCTCCTAGCAACGAAACCCCATAACAACTCCTCCCGACAACGTAGCAGGACCAAATATATGCCAGCATTCAAAACTGAGCATCCGTACAAACTGCCTGTCAAACAAGAGTGGCAACTCTAGAAGAGTTAAGGGGTTGAGGGCTTGCGCATTAACCCGATGAAGTACAGCACGCATCTTCAACCAAGATCTCCCGCATGTCCGCCAGCACATAAAACACGCTTGGATCCCAAACACACCATAAAGGCCTATGAACCACTCTCAAGACCCCAGCGTCCATGACAACAGTCATCCCCAGAACGTGGATGTCACATGATGTTCAAAAATACTCCTCTAACAGCACTCCCAATACAGTGGGTTTTGTGGCTTATATATTCATACGCAAAATGAGTAGGACCCGTACTCCATGAACTTGAACTCACAAAGCGGGGCCTCTAAATTTTGGAAAAACACCCACAAGAAGGATGTAAATCAATCAGCCATCGGGAATACTCCTTTTACACTTGGCACCTGGCAGAATCATCTACAGTCTGAGCCCAGTGCCATATCCGAACTATCAAGAGCGCTTCTATAGCCCAAGACATGAAAGTCCTCGCTTGTGCCTAGTTTTCAAGCCCTACACCCTGTAAACCCACATTAACCTTTGAGTAATTTCCTCCGTGTCCCTTGGTACCTTCTCGCTGTCGGCCTGGAAACTGGAGCTGACCTTGCGTTTAGGGTGTAGGTCATGTTTGGAGTTTTCAGCGACGGCTGTTGTTGTTGGTGTTGTTTGATTGTTTGCTGGCCTGCCTGCTTGCTTGCTTGTTTGTTTGTTTGGTTGTTTATTTGTTTGTTTGCTTGCTTGTTTGTTTGTTTGTTTGACTATGTGTTTGCTTGCTTGTTTGCTTGTTTGTTTGTTTGTTTGTTTGATTGTTTGCCTGTTTGTTTGTTTGCTTGTTTGTTTGTTTGTTCGTTTGTTTGTTTGTTCGTTTGTTTGGTTGTTTGTTGTTGTGCCTGTTTGTTCGTTTGTTGGTTTGGTTTGTGTGTGTTTGCTTGTTTGTTTGTTTGTTTGCTTGTTTGTTGGTTTGATGTTTTGTTGTGTTTGTTTAGTTGTCGTTCTTGCTGTTGTTGCTGGTGCTGGTGCTGGTGCCGGTGCCGGTGCTGTTGCTGGTGCTGGTGCTGCTGCTGCTGCTTGTTGTTGTTGCTGCTGCTGCTGTTGTTGTTGTGGTTGGTTGGTTGGTTGGTCGGTCGGTCGGTCGCTCGCTCGCTCGGTCGGTCGTCGTCGTGGTTGTTGTTGTTGTTGTTGTTGTTTGCCTTTTGGTTGTTTTGGGACGTGCACGCAGTTTCTGATTATTCTGGCGTTGAGGATTTAGGGTTAAGCAGGCTTAGAGGCAGGATTTAAGGTGTAGTGGCCAGAATTTGGTGCTCATGTTTATTCTTTCGGGCTCAGGGCTTGCATGAGGCATACTTCTTGAGATCTGCTGTTGTAAGCCGAGTCCTTCAGAGAGTACAGGGGTATGCGGTTAGCATCTTTCAGGCCTCTACATGGACATTCCCTAACACCAGGTGACAGTACACTTGCAAAGACTAAAAGTATGATCCACACAACGAGGGCTCTCAAAAAATGATTCCCTTACCGTAGACCTGTGATTAATAAACGCACTCCCCTGAATAGGGATTGTTTAGGGCTATAGAGTTTAGGGGTCTAGGGGTTATATGGGGGATTCTGATAGGGGCGTATGACAGGGGTTAAGGGGGATACTAGGAGTTTAGACTCTAGCTCATCTGCCATGGAGGCTTTAAAAGCCCCCATGATCAGGATTGGGCTTTTCTGGCATATGGCCCAACACATTTCGAGGGAGTCCCAAAAGCCAAGAATCCTCTAAGAACCAGATGAGCTGAAAGCTTCTTGAAAAGGACCCTCCGGGAAGGTCATACTAAGCCTTAAAGTGTAAGATTGGCACCTTACCTCAACTCAAAGGAGCGCCATGCTGTTAGCTGCTAGCTGCTTGGTTGTGATACCTAACCAATGTCAACCTGCCCATATCGATCATAGAGGGAATGACAAAAAATACGCCCGGCCATAAAAAGTCCAGAAGACTTATTAGATCGGCCGTAATCAATACAGCGGCATCAACAACAAAACTCCGTGCCCGAATATGCCATTGTTAGTAGATCTCCTTCTGCTAGTGCTACTGGTACTATGGCCTGTACTACTTAGTCCTACCACCACCCCCTGGTTCATTGTTGCGACCCGCCCCCTCCGTAGACCATAACTGCAAAACAAGTTTGGGGGGATTCACTTTTGTCAGGTGTAAATTATGGACCTGTTATGAATGCTTCTGGAGCTAGGGCTTAGGGTTTATAATACTTATTCAAACTGAAGAGTGAAAACCCTGAACCCTGAACCCCAAACCCTAAACTCTGAAACCCCAAAACCCTAAACCTAAAACCCTAAACCGCTGCGTCAACCCATGGGCTGTGACCTTCTTCGGGCCTGCCGCTGGCAGAGTTGCTACGTTGGCCTCGTCCTGTTGCGTTGCTGTTCAGGAAAATCCCTAAAATCCAAGGTTTAGGATTTAGGGGTTTAGGGGTGTAGGGGTTTAGGCTTTAGGAGTTTAGGGGTTTAGGGGTTTGGGGTTGAGGGCTTGAAGCCCTCAAATTCTAAGTTACCGTAATACGGAAATTCTATTCTTCACCAAGGGCTTTTTTCAAAATGTCGATATTTCTACCCTCCTGCCCTGCAGCGATTCCAAACTTTGCTGCCTTACAAGGGGTTAAGGGTGTGTGTTAGGTGAACCTCCCACCCTGTAATAGTGGTATAGTAGCAATATAAGAGGACCCTAATATGATCACATGATCCCTTGTAGCCACTATGACTGTGTGGGCGGTCCACCTAACGTGTAGCTTTATATGTGCTGCTTCCCTCCCGTCTGGCTGTGACGCATGAGGGGGTTGAGGGAAAATTTGGAGTTTAGGGTGCATATGCGGGTTTCCGACGATTGGGGGTATCATCTCGGGGGCCCCTATGATAAGAACCGATAAGAATTGTAGCCCTTTACGGAAACTACGATATAGTGTTGCAGAGTTTAGAGAGATCACCCCAGTAATAAGGAATATCATGGAAAAGAACATGGGAAATTAAACGGAAAGTATGATTATGTAGCGGTTTACAGGGTTCCAGATTTACATGGAAAGTTGTCAAGAGCCTGTTGCAAGCTGCCCCGCTTTGGTGTGCCTCCCATGTTACACATGTTGTTGGGAGCGCAAAGCACTAAACTGTACGCCCTTAAACCTTGGGGGCTGCGGTGGACACACGCAGAACATCAGAGTGCATTTTCTATCTGGAGCATCTTGGGCCATGTTTCCTCCTGTGGGAAACGGCTGCAAACACTCAAGCGATGCTTGAACCCGCAGCGAACAGAAGCTAGTATGGCCGAGCTGCTTGGAAACGAAACCAGAACTGAAACCTGTAGTCGTTGTCATTCGCTCTTAGACCTCTTCGGGCCTATCGGAATTCAGCCAGCCCTGCTGGTTGCATAGAGAAAGCATTGTTAGCAAACTGGCTTGCTTGGAAGCCACAGACCAAAGCCACCCCTCCTGCGTCCGCGCATCGGCGAACATGGCACTGTTGGCACAGCATCTGCTACAAGATGTGTCCCAATATGAGCAGGCTTCTGAGGCAAATGTTTGCCCCAAGGCCTGTCATCCCACGAAGGGCGCAGTTCTGCGGACCTTGTCAAGAGAGACTTCAAAACTTACAAGCGAATTAATGGGCATGCCCATCGTGACCTGAGCCATGATCATGACTGCTCCCCTCAGGCACGCAGTGCTCGTGTCCGATCAGAATCAAGCCAATGCAAACAGCCCCAACGGCGAATGACAGAAAAGCGCACAGGCGCTCTCCAAACCTAAGCTTGGGGTCGTACATCTTCGGCAGGCAGTCAGTAGCACCGACGTGTATGTAAACGCCACCACCAAAGGCAAGGATGAGGCCTATAAGGGAATTGTCGACAGGCGTTGCGGCGACAATGAGGGCCCCAAGAAGGACGCTCAGACCACTGAGGAAGTTAAATGCCAAAGCCTTTGGAGTGGACAAACCAGCAACGGGGCCCGTCAAGATGATGAAGTCCGCAATCTCCTGGGGAAGCTCATGGAGGATCGTGCCCGTAGCCACGCTCCAGCCAAATGCATTTCCGCAACCCTGGAACGCTGCTGCGATGAAGAAGCCATCGCAAAGGTTGTGGAAAAAGTCACCAATGATCACTGCTCCCAGTAGTCGAGCTTTTGCCCTAAACTTCTGTGCGTCATCAAGGCCTGCCAATTCAGGGCTCTCAGGGCTCTTCTCCGCATCCTCTGGAGATTGCTCTGAAGTCGAAGGCCCCTGTCTGGCCATCATGATCAAGCTCATGATCGTTTCCACCACAGGTGGCACCACCATACCTGCCAGGATCATGGCGCCCCATCGCCACACAATATCGACCTCTGCCGTCCAACCCACCTTACTAGATGGGGTATAGAAATGACGGTAAAGGGTTGTATTTCTGGAGAAGACTATATAGTCCCCCTTAGGTAGATAGCATATGGTGTATATGGGGATCTCATTATCATATACCCAAAGCCATATTCTATCTACTTAAGGAGGACTATATAGGTCTGCAATCCCCCAATCCACCAGCAAGCCACTCCAATAAGATGAGTCGACTCAAAGAGGAGCAGGAAGAAGGCACAGGCCAGCAAAGCACCAGAAGCGAACGCGAAGAGCATTGCGCTGACCACAGGTTTCCTTGGGGATACTGGGTTGTATAGGGAGTATATAGGGTTATATGGGAGCAATGTAGGGGTTATATAGGGATAAAAGAAGAGAACATGGAAACTAGTATTTAGGGTTTAGGATTTCCCCAAATTAGGTGTACTTTCTTGGGGTCCCTGTAATGGGTTATGATATTTTGGGATCTATGTTGGGGTCGCCCTATTCAAGGAAACTACCAAGTAGGGATCGCAAAACTGGACACGAGCATGGAGACTACTAGCCTACTCGTGGTATGGGGCGGTGTGTTTAGGAAAAGGAAATACGGATTCTCATCTATTCCTACATCCCCTAGTAACCAGTATACTGACCGCATGTAAGTTTCATGACCATCCTCTTCAAGGGCCCGAACATCAGAATCACTCCGATGAAGGTGACCAGGTTCACCTGTGCTGGCTTGAAGCGGAGCATTCGACAACAGAGTAGGACGTGGACGCATAACAAAAATCGTCAAGTACACACCAGGGAAGAAAAGCCCTCGAAACATAAGATCAGAAGCCTCAGACCCTAAACCCCAAACCCAAAGCCCTAAAAAGCCCCTACAAAGGAACAGTCCATGCTCAGAGCTACACTATGCCTGAAAATACGCGCCATCGCGCCGTTGGCGAACTGATAGGGAGGCTGAAATTAAAGAAGCCAGTAAAACTCCTTAATCACGAAGGGAAAACTAAAACAACATCCCCAATACCCCAGAGTCCCTACCCGGAACCTCCTATGTAGTTCCTTTTGGATGGTACATGATAACCCCTTTCCAAAATTATATAAAATACCAAGAAAGGAACTACATGGAAACCCTTGGCTCAACTCAACAAGAGACCAAGAAGGCCGCAAGAAAGGTAGCAGGGTCTGTTTCAACAGCTGCGGCCTCAGGGTTTAAGGTATTCAGAGGGGATTGAGGATTGAGGGTTAAGGGCTTATGCAGGGCTCTGGACGGGTTTAGGGTAAAGGGTTTTAGGGTTGAAGGCTGTATGGTGTAGGGGTGTAGAGTTCAGATCTTAAGGTTTTCGGGCTTCAGTGCTGCATGTGATACCCAAACTTGAAGCCTCCTAAACCGCCTAAACGCAAACCCTAATCCCAAGCCCACATCCCCAATATCAGACCCAAACCCTGACCATCCTCCTAAACTGACGAACAGAAACATCTCCTAAGCCTTCCCCAGAACCTCCTACGTAGTTCCTCTTTGGGTAGTTGATCAGAATCCCGTACCAAAAAGCCACAGCAACCCTTAAAAAGGAATATAGTCCACCTTAAACAGATAGAATATAACTTTGGGTATATTATAATAAGATGGCCATATACCCCATATTCTATCTACTGAAGGAGGACTATAACCCTGAACCCTTACATAGAAGCCCCTGGGCACAGCCCCTAGAAGACAACCCCGGCCTCAGCGGCTTCGGGCAACTCTGCAACTGGCTCGATGTCTGTGCCAATGCTGTCCTGTTTAGGGTTTAGGGTTCAGGGTTCAGGGTTCAGGGTTTAGGGTTTAGGGGTTTAGGGGTTTAGGGTGTAGGGTTGGTTTAGGGTCTAGGGTTTCGTTAGGGATTCATTTAGGCTGGGCCACGCTTCCTAAGTACCCTGCTACAACCACTGGTATGTCCACCCCCAAGAACACCCTGCATGTCTTCGCACTTCAAAAGGAATCCAATATGGTAGTTTCCCTAAATGAGGGACCCCAATATACTGTAGTCCTTATCCTTGGGACCCCCAGAAAGGTAACCCCAAAACCCTAAACCCTAAACCCTAAATCCCTAAACCGTAAAGAAACCTCTTATTACGAAGACCACGAACGCATCTTGCGAGGGATGTCGTAGGCGCTATGGATAACAAGCTCCATCAGATGTAATGCCTATTTCTACTTGAAAGCCCTCATGAGTCGACACGGTTTAGGGTTTAGGGTTTAGGGCTTAGGCAACAAACAGAACCCAACGCGTGCCTTTTGAGGACTATTGAGGCTGAAAAGCAAATCAATATGACATTTCCTCAAAGATCCCTGTAAGCCTAGATCGCATAATCTGAAGCCCCAATCCCAAAACCCTGAATCCTTACCAGGTGCCCCAGCAATCCCCATACATTCGTTTCCAAAATTTGGGATCGGGGAGTTCAGAACCCGAAACCGGGACCATATTCCGCCGAAACCCCATACTTCTGAAATCCCCAAAGTCCAACTGGTTGCCCCCCAAACCCGAAACCCCGCAACTTCAAAATCCGCTTGGTTCCCCCCAAACCCTTAATTTTTGAACCCCTGCTTTTGGGCGGAAGTACTTCCAGAATACTGCAATACTGCCCCCAAATCCTCCCAGGAATGGTCAAAAGGCCAGGATTTTACCTACTAACCCTAAACCCTAACCCCTAAAACCCTAAAACCCTAAACCCTAAATCCCTAAACCCTGAAATCCTAAAACCCTAGACCCTAAACCCTAAAATCCTAAAACCCTAAAACCCTAACACCCTAAACCCTAAAACCTTAAACCCCTAGACCGCCTGGCACCTTTGGGGTCCCATCCCCTAAAGCAGTCCTTGAGGTAGTGAGCGGTCGACTCAAACTCCGTAGGTACATGCCTGGGAATAATGTGGACCCCTGATTAATATTAAAGGGTTTAGGGTTTAGGGTTTTAGGGTTTAGGGTTAGTGTAGACCTCTAATTAATAAACCCCCTCTCCTTAATAGGGATGATTATAAAAGGCATCCTAATATTAAGGCCCTTAAACGGAGGGAGTTTATTAATCACGGGTCTACATTACTTTGCCCTACCCAAGGCTATAGGTCTTCGGGGAATGTAATTTGCTAGGGTTTAAGTTTAGGGTTTAGGGTTTAGGGTATCCAAAAAGAAATCACGTAGGAGGTTCTGGGTAAGTGCCCAAGTACGCAAATCATGGGGTTTCAGGGCCCCGAGAAGTTTAGGGTCCTCCCACCCTGGATTGGGCTGCTGCTAAGGCACTTCATCATAGAGGGTATATATAACAACTAATATTGTTCCCAATGGGAAGCCTAAACAGGGAACCCCAAGAAAATAGTATACTAGGAATGTAAAGGCCCTGGAAAGAAATATTGTTGAGGTTCCCTGTTTTGGGGTGACGTCCCCGTACAACTTGCTCCCAACTGTAACTCAAAGATGCTGTGCAAAGAAGGCTATGCCTGCCACCGCGCTGGCATCCACGTTGAAGAGGCTCTGCCATGCAGTTGCCTGTTCTCTGTAACCACCCTAGACCTAAATCACAAGAAGGCATGCTTTGATGGTTCCTTAGGGCTCTACTATAATAAGAGTTAAACCTACATCCCAAGAAAATAGGATTTCAAGTGCTCTTGCCAAAGAACAACATTCATTCTTCCCACATTCTATGATGGCATAGGCAATATTCATTCTTTTCACACCCGCCAGAGGCGTAGAGTTGCACAAGGCCTTGCAGACATCGTATGGACTTGCACGGATTAATTCCGGCTAGTGTAGGGCCCGGCAAGGATAAATACATAGGGAAGTATGCGTAGAGGGGATTCTTCTGGAGAGGTCCCTCAGGTCCCTCTTTCAGATTCCAAGCTCCTAGGTGAAGCTTCATAGAGATTACCACATGCTCGCCTGGAACTGCAGCTCGTAACATGTGCTCGCAGCTGGGGTAATGGTGCTTCCAGCCTGAACTGGAGTGCAGATGAGCTCCATGGCTTCCTTACTGACTGGTAGGGATGGTAGGAAACCGACATGTAAGGATGATCAGTGGAGACTACATAGGGGTTGCGGTGGGGAACCTTCCCCCCATTCCCTACTAATCACCACTAAGCTTCTTTTCCCTGTGTCTCCATGTCGTGGAGGGCTTGCTGGCTCACCGTCGTGGCTGGCAAGGCTACCAACTTCATAGCAGGATCGGCATAGTCCCCGTTCACTTTCTGAGCCGTCCAGAGGTAGTTTGCCTCTGGCGTTTCAAAAATGCCTGCCCACTCAAACCCGCTCCCATGCTCTCCATGGTCATGTGCATGATCGTGGTCTTCGTCATTTGCCGCAACTGCGCAACGGAAGCTATACAAGATGGTCAGGAGGCCGCAAATCGTCACTGACTTCATGCTTCCTTGGGCGCACGCAGTTCGGCGAAAGGAGCAGGGCTGGGCAAGATTCTGGAGTCGCGATCACAGCGACACTTTCATCTTGAACCACAAGCGCACCGCGATCTTTTGAAACTCACTGGCTGTTAGCAGGGAATACGGGAATATAATCCCTATATACTACCTTCCCTTGTTCCTTATTAACCCCCAGTAAGGCCATGATCTAGGATTGAATTAGCCCACCTCTGCAAGCTACATTGGCCTGTGTACAGCCTCACAGGATTACACTTCCACGTGGGGGCTCCCAGTTAGTCGGGCCGGGTGAATGTCCGTCCACTGTTTCTGTTGGCGCTTCAGAAGACATATAGTCCCCCTTAAGTAGATAGAATATGACTTTGGGTATATTATATTAAAATCCCCATACATCCCATATTCTATCTACTTAAGGTATAAGGTCAGTAAGGCTGCTGGCAAAACACTCCTCCAGCATGTCAGAATATGCGGTATATGGGGATCTTATTATAACATACCCAGCCATAGTCTATCTAGTTCAGGGGGACTGTATACCACCGCAGGACCCTGCCTGGATCCGGAAAGCAACGATGATTTCTGTTGCAGGGTTGCTCTCATAATCGAATTATCCCTGAACCAAAGACTCACAATGTGCCATGCGCATCCCGTTGCACGCTTCCTGCTGTTCTACCAACCCTAAACCCTAAACCCTGAACCCTAGACCCATCTAAACCCTAAACCCAGAACCCTAAACCCTGAACCCTAAACCCTGAACCCTAAACCCTAAACCCGATAAACCCTATGAAGGTACTCCGTTCATGGTTGAGGTCTGGCTCCTGGTGGCCACGTCAGTCCCAACTCCTGCAGCCAGAGGGGCGTTCATGCCAGTACACCCAGGGTTTAGGGTTTAGGGTTTAGGGTTCAGGGTTACGAGTTTAGGGTTCAGGGTTAAGAGGTATATCATTTAGGTGGACCCCTTACCCAGCAATGGTGACTATAAGGGACAATAGGGATTATACTAGGGTCCTCTCATATTCTTATTATACCACTATTACGTACAGGGTGGGGGGTCCTCCTAATGTATCAGACCCTCAACTTTAAGCCCCAGATGGGGTTTCTCAAAGCGGGGGCCCTGCAAAGCTCGTGGGGAGACCTAGGACAGCTACAAAAGCTAGGCGGTACACTCCCGGAAATTAACATGGAAACCCAAAAAGGGCCCTGTAAAGACTACAGTGCCTCTAAAAGGGGACCCTAGGGGTTTCCATGTGTGTTTGGGAGAGTGTACCTCCTTGAATTCAGGAATGGAACCAGACTTGGTCTGAACAGGGCCGTCAGATTGGGGGAGTCGACTACAAGCGGCTGGTCCCAAATCTTGTTCCGGTGCCAGCTCAAAAATCAAAACCAACCCTAAACCCTAAAACCCTTGTGATGTTTCACTGATTGCCCCTTTTTCTACTGCAAAATGATCCTTACCCCAAATGTTGGGTGCCAGTTTGCGGTTCCTGTAGCAAAGTTCAGGCGGGGGATACTACTTCAGGTATGAATGCTGGTACCCCTAGGCCCAAAATCCTTGTAAAATAAACCAAACATATCTGTTTATATCTACATATGAACCATAGGCTGAACTCCTAGTATCTCCCTTAGTAACCCCTATAGTAGTCCCCTATATAATCCCCTATATAACCCCCTTGAAGGAATTTAGACTATATATATATATGTATCCAAGTATTGGCGCACCTGAACTTTGGGAAGTACCCCAAGGCCTGTCTGAAGGAGCTTTCCTTCGAGATTCGCTGCAGATCTCCAGGCACCTGGCATTAAGCCCTACTGCGTTTCGGGGTTCAGAAGTTTGGGGGAAGGATTTAAGGTTTTGGGTATAGAAAATATCATACCAGAAATGGTCGAGAAGCAGGCTGTGTGGCGAGTTTCCCTCCATCCTAACAAGCAATAACCTACAGTATGCAGGCAAGGGCTCAAACAACAAGTACCGCGGCCACAGCATGCTGCCGTGCATCACCAGCCCATTGCAGAGATTCTCATCCTGCAATCTACGAAAAAGAGGCTGAACCCCAAAACTCACTTAACCCCCAAGCGGTACCTCAAACCCGGAAACCCACGCAATGGCATCTTCATGAGGGCCGTCTTTTTTCTTGCACGAGCGCGCTGCGAAGCACTGCAGGTGCCTGAATAACTTAATTTAGACAAGTATTGATTGATTAACCCTGACTTTTAAACAGTGAGATCAATAAGCGTTGCCACACTTTAGCAGCAATAACCACCATAATAGCATCACCACGAGCCATAGCAATAGACGTAGGGATAAGACCTAAATGCCGGCGAAAACCAAATGATTGGGACCCCAGAGGAAAGAATCAAGGAGACGCCAGACCCTAAACCCCCCGCGGTTAAGGTTTAGGGCTTTGTGGTCAGGGTTTAATATGGGGTTTAGGGTTTAATATAGGGTTTAGGGTTTCAGCCCTGAACCCTAATCCTGAAGCCCTAAACCCTGATGAAGTTCTTCGTGTTTTCTCATCCCTAGGCAACCTCTCCTAACAACTTGGCGTAGGGTGCAGGGCTTAAGAACCCTAAGCCCTAAATCTCTGTTTCATAAATACTGAGGCCCTGTTCGCTACCCCGCCACTACAAGTTATACCTATGAGGTCGTGACTCTAGGGGCTGAGGTAACCAAATCCTCTTACGAGCAACCTTACAGCTGAGATGGACCCCCAAGCTGTAATAATGGTATGTTAGGAATATAAGAGGACCCCAATATAGTCACCATTATCCTTGATAGCCCCTAAACCCTGAACTCTAACACAAAAACGCTCTTATCCGCTAATTATGTCTCTGTGACTGGGCGGAGGGGCTCCCCTGAGTAGTGTTTTTTTGGGTGGTTGAACCTAGTAAGATAATATTCCATATATAAAATACTATACCCCAAAAGGAGGATTATATTGGGTGCCATAGTATCCCCAAATAAAATACTACTCACCTAACTTTAGCCCCATAAACTGGCACCTACCAAGGCCTCTCATCGGCCGCAGGACGCCGAACAAAATGTATGGTCTAAGTTGGGTACTGCCCCCACCTAGTAACAGTCTATACTAGGGGTCATATTAAGGGCTATAACTATATTATAATTATTATCCAACTGTTGCTGAGGGGGGGGCAGTACCCAAGGTCTAAGGCTTAGGGTTTGGGATTTAGGGTTTTAGCAACGCACCGGCCAAAACAGTTACTTATAAGACTCGAGTTTGGGAGTTTATTTGTGGTACTACTGCCAGCTAAGGGATGTGAGGGGATCCTTCTCCTAGGCTGCTGCACTCCTTCAGTATAGCAAGTTTTAAGCTCGGATAAGGGTCATCCAGGAGGTGTAGTGCCCTAAACCCTAAAACCTTGACTTTTATGCCACCGCTTTGCAGAGCTCCTCGTGATCCACCAGGTCCTCAGCAAGGCTACGATGGGCGATGGGGACTGAACACGGGGAATACCACTGTCAGCGAAATCATTTTCAAGATCTACGAATCTACTTATCAACCACATTGACACGAGTAAGGAAAGTTACAATGCGTTTGAAGCGCACCCTACTCTCATGGGATCTAGGACATTTGAGCACCATGATGCCATACATGCTGCGTCGCATTGCAGGCAAGTCAGCCTCTAAGAGCCTGAAAATACTCCCTATAACCCTGGGTTGGCCCCCAAAACCTTTTGAAAAATGTCAGTATATAGGGTCCCTTATTAAAGCCATTAAGGAAAATATCAAATATCCCAGGGGCCTACCCAGAACCTAAACCTTAAATCCTGATAACTAGGGTTACTATATGGCCTCTAGGGTTATCAACCTACTTACTGAGTCACGTTGACCCTCCAAGTAAACACCCAAGTAGACCCTCATATCCTAAACCTTAAACCCTGAACCTCTAAGCCCTAAACCTGGAACCCTAAACCCTAACTCCCAAAACCTGAACCCTAAACCCAGAATCCTAAATCCATGCAACTACTACAGCTAAAAAACCTACAGCCCCACACCCTGTTAGCCGAAGGGCAAGCTCGCAAAGCTTCTTGACGCTGGCCTTGAGCCTGGAACTTGTCTCAAGCTCCCTCCAGAAGACCTCAGGGTCCTCAGTGCATTTGGGCAAACGGCAGGGTATTTTACCTGTAATAATGGAGAATCAAATGGACAAGAAATTGGAAAATGCAGTGGAAACTGGGATGATACGGGATTTATAGGGGGTTTTGTGAGCCATAGTCTACACTCTTAGTATCCCCCTTAATAACCCCAAAAATCCTCACATATATAGTCCCCTAAATAACCACATTTACGACGTTTAGACTATAGCTCATCCTGGGGAGGGGTCAGGTTTAGTGTTTAGGGTTTTGGGGTTTAGGGGTTTGGGGGCGTAGGGTTTTAGGGTATTAGTGTTCTGGGTTTAGGGGTCAACGCTGAAGGGGCTTAGGGTTCAACGAGTTGAGAGTTCATGACTTGTAGCCTTCTGGGCCTTTTGGGGGTTTTTTGGTTTTTGAAAATAGTTAGTCCCTTCCCCTACTATCAAAGCAGGGTAGCCCCACCTGAACCAACATGTATACCTAGGACGGGTCTTGATGTTCTAAAAGCAGCAGCCCTTGTTTACCTAATTCATCCCAACTAAGGAACTTCTTCTAGCTATTAGGTTCTGCATAAAGTCTTATACTTTACGATTCCCTTCTATGTAAGTTTACTTATAATAGCAAAGCTCGCAAATGGAAATTAACAATTAACACTCCTCTAGGACAAGCCACAACTGCAAGCCCCTCGATCCCTAAAATAGCTACACCTACGCCGCAATCCCCACCCACCCACACACACACACACACACACCCGCGCACACACACACACACACACACCTGCAAGCAACATCCAAAATAATCTGTAGTTAGCTTTTTTGGGGACTGCCTTCTACTTGGGGAGCGAGTAGACCCTACAACTCAACCCACAGCACATAGTGAATCCGCTGTGGGCATATGAG